ACTCTCCCACACACGCACACAACCAACGGGCAACACTTTGGCGCTCCAATAACCATTTTTTTTTCTTGTTGTTGTTTTTTGCTTATTTCCTTTTTTGTTTTTCTTTTTCACACATACATGCCATGGGTGCATGGATGCGCGGCGAAACAAAAAGGGGGTTGGCGGCTACGGGCACATTTCCTGACGAATCAAAAGAAACTTTAACGCCGACAGCAACCCACACCAACAGAGAAGGAATATACATATATATATATATTGGGCTGTAAGTTAAAGGGAAGAAAACGCAGACAATGAACAACAGGAGGAAGAAGAAGGATTAATAATAATAATAATAAACTATCCGGCGGCAAAGTAAGATGACAACTATTGATGTTTGTTTTCTTTTTTGCTTTGTTTTTTTTTTGTTTTATCCTTTTTTTTTGTGCTTTACTTTTTTTTTTTTGGGTGGGGAGGGGAAGGGAGGAAAGTGCATGAGATGCGAGGAAAGAGAAGCAGCCCACGGAGTACTGTGCTGGAGAGGAACAAAATAACTAAACTAAGCAACCTCGTCTTTTTTTTTTTTTTTACTTGCCTCCCTCTGTTTCTGTGCGTGGTATTTATATGTTTAGAGTGTTGTTGTCGCTGCCGCTGTTGTGACTATTTGTTTTCTTCAGGTGTGTAATGTGTGCGGCAGTGGCAGCGGCAGCGACAGCGACGAGGTCCCATGAAGAAGCATTACACGCACCAAAGCGGGGGGAGAGAGAAAGGGGAGGAGGGTCTCAGTTAACTAAGTGGGAGACAACAGCGACTATCTGTTGTCTAATGGGAACAAAATGTGCCGTTATATGTGTTGGTAGAACTAAATGTGTGTGAGTAGTAGTCCCACTAATGAGTGAAGAGCATATGTTTGATTTGGTGTGATAAGGCATGTCTCTGTGTGTGTTTGTGTGGGTCGCAGATTTCTCTTTGAGTATTTTGCATAGTGCTACTGATGTGTCTTTTTGTTTTCTCTCTCTCTCTCGCTTTCTCATTACCGTTTTTTTTTGGTGTTTTACCTTAGTGGGGGTGGGTGGGGGGAAGGCGCAGGAACGCGTATGGAGGCCCTCGATGGAGCGCGCTGCTGTAGCCAGCGGCTGCACGTGCGACGGGCGCGGAGTTAAAGGCGGCACCGTCGCACCAACGACACATGCAGCGGCAGCGGCATTGCCGGCCTATGCCAAACTCACACTGACGTCAACCGAGAGTTTCAATGAGGGGCTGTGATAGACCTCGTTTCCCGACTCGGCGCGCGCTGGACGTCTGCTGCCCAGCATTGCTCTTCTGCTGCCGTTGCCGCTGCCAGCGCAGAGGTGGGCGGTTGGTCCGCGGGAAAAAAAATGTTGAATTCTCATTAGCTGTCAACGCCATGCGCAACGTCAGCACCACCAACCCATCACGGCTCCATCCACCTCTTTTTTCTCTTTGCATCGTACGGTAATGGCATGTTGATGATGCCTCTAGCAAGGCGGCGGAAGGTCAATATTTTTCTGCCGTGTTTCTTCATCATCTGTACTTTGCTTGCATTGCACCCACACGCAGACTCGGAGGAGAGTCAAGTGTATACGTTTTTGCGTGCATCTCGACCTACCAGGCGGGGTGCTACGCGGCCAGGAGCTAAGGCTGAAGAGGGTCGAAGACAACAAAATTAACCAGCCTTGGCCAGTGTGGCGGGGTGATGCATGATTGGGTGGAGGCCGGGGCGGTGGTAGCGCAAGCAGAGCAAAGGGCCAACGGAGAGCGAAAAAAAAAACACGCACAAAACGCAATAACAACGAAGAAAAACAGCAACAAGCAAAAACGAAGTTTATGCGTCTGTGTGTCTGTGCTTGCGAAGTTGACATATTTGTTTGCTCCTCCACCCCTGTCACTAAAAGCGGTCTGCAGTATACTAGGCGCACATAGCAAGGGTGTAATGGTAGAAAAAGCGACATATGGGCCAGGATGCACTCGCTGCACCATAGTCGAGCCCTGTAAGGCAAACAGTGCCAGGTCGTACGTGGGAAATTCCCTTGCCGAGCGGCAAGCATTGTACTCTGAATCTGTAAAGGATCCTGCTGTGTTCTGGAGCCGGATTGCGGCCGATAACTTTTACTGGGAAAAGTTGTGGCCCGCGGATAAGCCTGTACTGGAGTACAATTACCACAGGAGCAGAGGAAAAGTTTTTGTGAGGTGGTTTGATGGCGCGATAACCAACATGTGCTACAACGCCCTTGATCGCCACCTCCCGCAGCACAAGAGCCGCGTGTGTTACTACTGGGAGGGTAATGCGGAGGGGGAGAGCAGCACTGTGACGTACGGTGAAATGCATGAGGCTGTTCTGCAGCTGGCAGCTGTGCTGCGGCACCAGTACGGCATCCGTAAGGGCCACGTGGTCACTCTGTACCTCCCAATGGTTCCCT